TTTGTAAATGCTAACGATACTAAGAAACAAAGAAAATTCTGACAGCATATGTTAATATGTTATTTAGAAGAAAGAGCTGAATAATTCCTATGACTGCTTCTAATGCCAGGTAGGAAACAAGACCAAATCCCTCAATCCTCTTAAGACTTTTGTCTTTCAGTGTGGCTTCATGTATGATTACATTTATGAATATGCTAATCATTGAAAACACAGCCTGTTTTCCACCTTTAAAGGATTCTCAGTGGATCTGGGCATTGGAGTTACGGACTTTCCTAATTAATTTAATGAGTAAGGGTATGCCAATACAATGCCTTCACCCCTTAAAACATGCAAGGGGGGGCGGTGGGGGAGGAATCAGAAAACAGTAAGAAAAGTGATTATGAACAGGAGAAGTCATCATGCAAAGTGTTGGAAAGAGAAACAACTTCAGAGAAGCCAAGAAGGAACATGGCACATCTAGAGAAAGCAATGAATGGAATAGCTATTAACCTTTTCTGTTAATGAAAACTAAAAGACAGTTATTGAAATTCCATTGCAGTAACCTGACACACTTTCCCCTCCTCAAAATCTCTTTCCACAGTTAAGAATTTGTGGAAGTTGTTGCCATAAATTACCACTGAGGTCACTGTAAGAAAAATAATGAGAACATCTACAGCTATCTTTAGCAGGATAAAAAATTGTAGGTGAGAATATTTGAGTGTAAAAAGCAATCCTTTAGTATTGGGGAGCCAACAATAAATGTCTCCCATAGGTACATTTTTCTGTAACTGTCCACTACTGGTTTTCCTGTAACTTCTGCTGAAACATCTGGTAACATGCAATGTGCAAGATAGCTCTGGAAGAACAGTCTGCTCTGGGTGACATTTACTACATCCCCAGCACCCACAGAAGTGGAGTCCAGATGAAATAAGGAGTAACTATTAAAAACAAAACTTTCAACACTCTCCAAGTGTGCATTAAGCAGCAGACCATGGTAAGCACCTGGGCAACTGAAGAGTGTGTGAATGAATAGCAGAGGCAACTGCTGTGTATGTCCAAACCCCAAAATGTCAGTGACCTCTGCAATGTGCAGCTGGCAAAAGATGAGTGCTGAAGAACAATTTTGGTGAAACATGGCAGTAACAAACTATTTAAAAAGTCTCCAGTAAATGAAGGTACATAAAAATGCTCAGAGAAGGACTAGGACTAGACACAGATTACAGCTCTTTCTAGAAATACTATGATTTGGGAAAATACAGTTCTAATTAATGAGGAAAACTGAAGGAATAGTTGAAGCAGGAAAGTACGTTTTCATACAGCTTCTATTTTCAATTAAAGAAAAAAAGAAGAAATAAAACCATGACCCCAAACTGGTCTGAAAAAGCACACAATCTAAGACCAGGGAATCTTGGATCCACAGTGTGGGAAAAACTGCATTTACACAGCAAGCTAGCCAACATCTGATCAACAGTATAGCAATCTGAAAGGTGAAAACAGTTATTGACAATGATTTGAAATTAGATAAATCCTCAAGGTACCATCTAGAGCCAGGCTGAGATTATCCCAAAAGAACACAGCAAATCTCCTGACTTGTAGACACCAGCAAAACATTGTAGCTGAAATTGTTCATTAAATTAATACACTTTATTCTCAATGAAATGCCACCAGATCATTTATTAAAAGCCAGATCAATTAACAGACCCTTGTGACTTTCATGTCAAGTGGTTACCCTAATTCTGTATCTAATTTTAGAAATTTGTGAACAAATTTACAACTGTTCAGACCGAGCCATCTAGGATATAACTGAAAGCTGGCAGTTCCCTTGTGGTTAGTTCATTAAGAGCTAGTATCACAAAACAAAGCACCTATACTAATTCTATACCCTATTCTGATGCCCTTCTCTAAATCCTCGAGCAACAACTTAAATTCTGGAATTTGAGAATTCTGAAAGACATTCTTTTCTGACAGTTTCTGCACATTCACCCTCCCCACCTACCTTTCAAAAACTGGGAGACACGTTGTATACAGGATGGGGTAAGCTGAATAAAAGATACTTGACAGTGATCTATGAACTGTAAAAAGATATGCTGCATTTCAGCGCTGCAAGCATGCACAGCATCTGCGATCTCTTCATTGAACAATAAAAAAACCCACCACCACTCTATGAGCAGATGTTGAAAATATCAGACCAGATTTCGGTAAACAGAAATTGGAAATTCTGAATTCATATTTGTGTCATTCAACAACTTCAGAAGCATTCAGATTCCACGTAATGAATTAAATACCTTTTCCTGTATAAGCTAATCTCCAACTATTAACCTGTCATACAACTTATACGGGAAGCCAACCAGCATGGATTTGTAAATTGCAACATCCAAATTGCATTAATAATGGTGAAAATAACCCTTAAGGGATCCAAACCCATAAAATAAAAGGGTATGCAGGTGTGCAACACTCTTGGCAACTGAAGAGGGTACATAAAATTCCCTGAATGGTCTTTCACTAGTTAGGCAAAGACCATATAAAGTGTGACTTTGTGTCCCAGTCAATAGGGGCAAGGCCATAGACTCACTGCAATTAAGTCCTGCTGCTGCACTGAAGTCAAGAAGAAAAAGGGATAGATCAACTCACATCACACTGAAACGGCTTCTCTCCGGTGTGGGTTCTCATGTGCTCATCTAGGCCTCGCTTTTGACTGAAAGCCTTGTTACACTCTGAACATTGGTATGGCTTTTCCTGTATGAAACGACAACAGTGAGTGAAAGTGAGTGAAAGTGAGTCAACACAGAGCCCAAGCAATTAAAGGAGTGGAATTCCATGCTGGATGGTGTAAGTTTTATATTCTCTCTACGGGATTACAGTCAGTGAAAACAACAGAAAACGACTTTCAAATGATTAAGTGAAAGCTGGGAAAGTTGTGGCCTGACAGTTTCCACTTCAACACCCACTTATGAATTAATTAACTGTTCCAGTCTTTCAAACCCAGCCATTTTGGGAGTCTGTTTTTTGTAATGTGAAAGGTACAGAAACATAAAATTCCAATGTACTTTCCTTTATCCTCCACAAAAGCTTAAAGCATAAAGACAAGTAAGATATCTATAAAAACCTCAGGTTTGTTAGCAGGTTTCCAAGCAGGGGAAGAGGTGAGGAGAGGAAGAGGGGGTACAAGGAAAGCTTGTGGAAGAGAAAAAACTTATTTTGAAAAGTGGTGACAGAAGGTTAATCACTTATTCATTGCAGAATCTCAAAAGAAGTGCAGATGGCAACCAAGTCATCTGTATTTTTATTAGAACTATTGGTTAGCAGCTACTGTAACACATGATGTTATAAAAGTTGCAAGCTCACTGACCTCAAATAAATAATTAGAGATATGTATGGAAAACCACTTATACAAAGATTTTCTTCTTTAAAGTTCTTCCTTAATATAGAAACTTATATAAGGTGTAATTCCTCCTTTCTTCCACTGAAGTTACATAAGAACTATATGGAAAACAACATTTAAATAAATAAATTAAGTGTAAAAGTATTATGGCACTGCACATTGTCTCACTAAAACTTTGATGCTCTAGAGGCAATGTTATTTTTGAATGAAACAACTATACTTCTTTCACTTTCATTCTACTTTTTTCCTGTGGTCCCTAACTCTGTATTGCCTAAGTTCCAAAGATGGGTATTTTAGGCAAGGATGTAAACATTTTTTACTAAATTAAATTGAAAACAAAGACTGAAAAATCAATAGGCAGTAAAAATGCTAAGTCTGTGAATTAACAAATAATAGGCAGTAATCTTAATGGTCTTTTGGGAGATAGCGTGGGATCCAAGGATAAGTGAGAAGGAACAACTCATCTTAGGTTTTAAAGCTACAAAGTGAAGAAATTCTCTGGTTATTGAATTCCTGTTCCCAGAATGTAGGGAACAACCAGGTCTCCATATATTGCTGAATCCTGCCAGGTACTCGGCATAATCCATGCACATAATACAATGGACTATAAATCAGTGTTGTTCTGGGTACTACCCAGGTTCTCTCTTTAGAGCAGCTCTTTGCAGGTCCAGAGATCTCAGTGAGGGTGAAGACTAGGTTCTTCATTTTGGAGTACTCTCCCATGAGGTTTCCTAGAAAAGGCAGCGTCATAGTCACAAATGTCTCAACCTGTAGTGGCAGGAACTCTCTAACTCACCAAAACCAGGTCATAAGCTGTGTACAACAGGAAAAGCGTTTCTCCAGCAGCTTCAATTTCAGATACAAGTAAATCATGAGATACAAGTGCATTTCAGTACGATGCAAGACAAATCTTTCTACTGACGCAGGCTGAGTACATATAATCAAACTGGCCTAAAGGGAGGCCACTAATGAGCTTTTTTGTGCAAGATTCTCCTTACACGTGTTTATCATCTTTGTGTGTTTTCATCATTATCTTAATTTTGTAATTTCCATGATTCTTCAGTATAGAGTAAACCATAACAAATTACCTAAAAAAGATCTGAGCTGGCCTTAAAAAAGAACAAAAAATAAAAATCATCTAGACCAAAAACTTCATATCATGGGGAATTTTGCCAGACTGACCAAAGACTTAATGGAGCAGGTCTGTAATTTTTAAGGAAATGTACGAATAAGCCATATGAAAAACAGGTTTCTGCAACACCCCCTTAATTGGTTCTGCATTGTGGTTAACATAAACCACATTTTCTGTGAGTTCTCTGAAAATAGCCTTTCTCTGTGTAGGTTGTTTCACAGAAAGTGCAAAGCAAAGTATATGATGTATACATCTTAAACACCTATGAAAACATTAATTACTGCAAACTGTACCAGGTGTATTTGCTCCCTTTTTATCATCTTGTTTTTCTGTTATCTGGAGAGTTAACTTGGTTATGATTATCTTACTCATTTCAGAGTTAAACAGACTTCAGGATTCCATTTTGGAGAAAGAGCCATTATAAACTCTGGGAAGCTGAAGTCACAAACCTGGGTTGTAATATCTTCCCCAATGTTATGCTTGGCTATTTTTATTATCCTCTGTCATACAGAAAGAGGGTATATCTAATCACCCCCTTGGGATTTGTATTCAAATTCACATATGTAGTGCATGAAACACATCCAAACCCGTCTTTGATCTAATTTTAGAATCCTTACATCTGTATATTCCAGCGACTTCAGCAGACAATTCTGATTCACATCAGCCCCTCTCCTCCTAAGCTAAGCTGCCCTTCATTCACATCTGTGTCTGTTTCAGTAAAATCGGTAGTGTTGTCCAGAGCAAAATTTGGCCATAAGTTTCTCTCCACAAAATAAGACTTTTTTTGTCTGTTTCAAAGATGACATCATTCTCCAAGATTAATTTCTTCAAAACAAGTCATTCGTATCAAATTTCCATTGCATGATACTTGGAGAAGGCAACATTTGTATCATGGAAAAGATGATGTTGGCTTGGCATAACCACCACTGCTCTAAATGTGAACAGAAAAAAAAAAAAACACCAAAAAAAACCCAACCAAAAAAACCCATAAAAACCACAGCAGTAAGTCTGAAGGAAAGTTAATGCCACCACAAAAGGACAATAGGGACCAATGACTAGAAGAAAGTTGGACAAATTTAAACCATCAAGCAAAGGGAAAAACCTGCTAACTGTCAACAGAAGAGGAGGTCATTGGGAAGATCACGTAAGTCTGACTTCAGAGGAGTTAGCAACTGCTAGTACTATAAATCTACCCTCTATTCAAAAAGCATCTGCCAGGCCATGACTATGGTGGTAGCAAAGCCAAAGGATTACACGTGTTTTCTTTTATTGATGACATAAATGAGGAAGGGAGCAGCGAGAGTGAGAGACAGGATGTAGCTGATACTGCAGTGCTTTAATATTACATTTTTAAACACACCAGGTATAAATAAAAGATCAGAATTTATAAACCATCCTGCCTCTAAACAAAGGAAAGGCCAAGGACAGCCTAAATGGGACTTGGTATTCTGGAAGGTGCTTTGCTGTTAGACTGGTATGCTAATGTAGAAGTTCCCATCTCTGATGATTTTCACTTCACTATGTTAAAATTGAGAGGAATTGAACATTTTAACAACTATGACAGATAAAACAGTGCCTGCAATACAAACTTCTGTCTGTGGAAAGCTGAATTATAAATGACTACCTTGGATTCCAGGCAAATTGTGCTCTGCATTAGAAAGACATCAGAACACAACAAATTCTCAAGGCTGTTTGACACCACCTTTAACAGATTGATAGAACGTGTGTACAGAGTATCCTGCAACCACAGCAGATGGAAATACTTAAATGCAGAATCTTTGAACTGCTAACTGCTGTTGTAGTTTACTATCTCTCTTAAGAAATATAAATATATTATATATATTAGCTTAGCACTAGTGCATGTGGTTGTTTCTGTAAACCTGGTAAAATTGATTACACAGGTAAAACAAGAATGACTTTTGTAGGAGTATCTCCAAATAACTTTAAAAATCTGAATTTAGAACTATTACATGAGCTCAACAGCAACAGCAAGAAAAACATTATCTAGACACTACTATATCCAAATAAATCACAGCTCAAGATTCAAACAAATGAGAGTTAAGAACGGTTCTAGTAACTTTCCAAGGTGGCAGGAGCAAGTTAAAACTGAGCTGAACCCACACGTATGAGACCTTATTCTTTACTGTTTTGGTTAAATTAATTTACTACAGTGATTGCAGATTTATACTACTCAGAAAGTGACCTTGTTTACTACAGAAATGTTACTCAATAATCCTTTTTAACACTCAGGTTTTAATGGACGTACAGAGTATACTTAAAATCCCAAAGCTATCCAGGATCTAATCTCTCTTATGGTATTTTTTTTTAATAACCTACTGAATTCATTAGATTTACTTCCAATTTACTTCAGAATTTCACATATGGCACCTTTCTTCTTGTAGATCATATTTGTACATCTAAGCACACGTTAGAATTACCAGCATCTCAGGGTAAGACATACTGACCATGTTAAGTTTCACGACTATCAACTTGCTGGATCTGCATTTTCTACAAGCTGAAAACTGAACATTTAGAGAAGTCCAGAGAAACAAGGAAAAGCATATCAGATCTTATATTACTTGTAAACATTAACAGTTTGGACATGAGTGTGAAAATTGCCAGGCATTAATAATGGCAATGATACAGAACCAAAAAAAAAAACAAACCACCAAAAAACAAACAAAAAAACCCCCCACCAAACAAAACAAAACCAAAAAAAACCCACCACCACACAGAAAACAACACCCCTTTTCTTCTCTGGAGACATACAAAATTGAGATCTGTTTAACAGACAGATCTGGAGACATATATGACATTTTCAAAAAATGAACAGTAAGGCCAAGTACATACATGAAGATTTTTCATAAAACCTGAATAAGCCTCAAAAGTTCTCAACCCAAACTCCTTGGAAAACAGTAGGCATCGAACTTTTTTGGGTGAGACCTATTCTCACAAGAAACACAGAGCTAAAGAAAAATATCAGCTTCTCTTTTTGATAGCAAGATATTTTAAAATACATAGATCATCCTTTAGTTCACCTAATTTTTTTTGTCTTGTTTTCAATTGCTTTCATTATTCCAAAACAAAGAGCTTTCCTTTGCTCCCAAAGAGAGTGTCTTATAATGCCTACATATGAGATGTAAATACAGTAACACTACCTGCTTTCAAACCTCATGTGGAGAATTTTAAAATCTTTGTATTACTCTTAACAAATATCATTTG